AAAAAAAGGCACAGACTTCCACAAATCCCCAGGAGTACATTATTTATTCCTAGTGCCCCAGCTCCCCTCTGTAAGGTCCCAGGCCTAGAGCATTCCTCCAGACAGGGTCAGGAAGAGGTGGGACTCATTTGGGCACTAATGAGATAGTGTAAATAAAAGTAATTTTTTCAAACACACTGGCAGAAGAAGTGAGCCGAAAGAACTTAGGATATGAATTCTAGCTCTGGCTAAGCAAGGGGACAAGCCACATCACCTATTTGAGCCTCCGTTCATGGGGTTCATAATTTTCAGGAGCAATCACACCTGCTTTGTGATGCTGTTTTGAAGACCACGCCGGTACATTGCAGTAAGTAGTAGCTATTATGAACGGATTGGTCACAAGATGATCATGGGGCACTCTAAGCTTCAACTGGGAAAATGGGCACAACAGCTGCAAGGACTTTACCTCCACTGAGGGGGAGGGGGTACTTAGACAACCAGAGGCAGAGAACCTACCCTGGGGGATTCCAATCTTCCACCCTTCCTGAATGTGTCCACCTGTTTTCAGAAGCCTAGAGAAGCGAGGCAGGGACGGACAAGGGCAAGATTCTTGACAATGTAGGTCCCAGAAACAAAGTAGGTGCTCAATAAATATTTGTTCATTGAGTGAGTGAATGAGGTCACTCTGTCTCTCCCCAGCACTAATCCCAGAACTCCTCTGTGAAAGCAAATCTCGACCTCCTTCCTCAAACACCGTCATCAGCAATACATACTTATTCAGCATGCAGGGCACACCAGGTACTGCAGGATGGGGGCAGGGTAGCCTTCAGAGGTGACATGGCCTTTCCCCACCTATGCCTTTGCAAGATAAGGCTCTGGAAGAAGAAAAGGCTGACACCAAGGACACAGCTTGTACCTCAGGCCACACTGTGGGATAAGTGCCATAGATTGTAGTGAGCCGGGTGAGTCTAATTTGACTCTCTCATTGTAAAGGGGAAGACTTGGGAAGTTGGTTAGCAACCGTTCCTATGGGACTGAATGCTCCCCCTTCCCAGGTCTCAGCTCCAGCAACTGGGTACCAGCTCTGTCCCTACTGCCTTGGGGAGGGGAAGGAGATAGGTCTGATACGTGGATATGTCAGGACCTCCTGCACAGAACAAGGAGCAAGGTCTCTCCAGGGCCACTTCCTGTAGGGAGGGTTCTAAAGAGGGAGGAATCACCAACTCCCATTTCCCAGGGCAGCTCCCACCTGAACGTCCTCTCCCAGTTAGGGCAAGAAAACTGGGAAGGATCTCTACCTCCCTCCCCTCTGACACACAGCACCAAAGGTCTTTACCAGGGGAGTGGACAGAGTATCCCAGAAAGGTAGGGAGGGCACAGCCTATACCACACCCCCTTCCGGCACTTTGGCAGGCACTTGTGCACTGCTCCACCTCGAGGGAAATGACCTCATCACACCCATCTGACAGATGGTGAACACTGAGGTGCTTCATAAAGCTGGTGGCGGCAGAACTGGAACTAGGACCAAGTCTCCCAACTCGCAGGCTAGCAATCCCTCCATCCTGTATTGCTTCTGCCTTATATCAGTGAAAGTGCCCACTGCCTCTTCCCCATTCTGGTCTGCAGGGAAGAAGGGGTGCACAGGGAACTCAAGATGCAGAGGCCAAAATCCCTACACAAGGAAAGGGCAAACACCCCAGTGTGCAAGGAGAGAAGAGGCTTCTTCACTTGGTAGCTCCAAGCTAAAGTTCTGCACTCCATAGGCTGGCATGGTCATTGGGCAGGTCAGCATCTTCCCTTGCGCCCGCAGTATGTCCCCTCATCTCCTGCCCAGTCAAGCCCAGGAGGGAAGGTGAAACAGCAGCAGCCCCATATGCCCCCTTCCCCCAAGAGCAAGTTCAAAAGTGCTTCAGAACGTCAAACCCCACCTCCTCATCCTGACTCAGAGGCCAAAGGTCACTGAAGAAGCTGCAACCCCAAGGGGGAGGGGAGAGACAAAGCATCCAATGAACTATCCTTCCCCAAACAAAACCTGGCTCCAGGCCAGCAATGAACTTGGCCCCAGGACTCTGCACCCCTCTTCCAGCCCGTGCACCCTCGCCCCCACCCCTGCCGGTTCATATGGAAAAGAGGGAATATTTGGACTCAGAGCCAGCTTTGGGTGGCAGGTGAAAGGTCCAGTGAGGAGGGGGACAAAAATCACAGAGACTGGGGAGGGGATACAGAAGAGGGGCAGGTTTTGCCTTAGGATCTTAGGGAGTTTACGGACGGACAGGATCCTTCCCCAAACTGCTGGAAACACCCAGTTGTACTCTCCGCCCCCCCCTCCAAAAGTATAATGGCTACCAGATGAACAAGTCCAGCACTGGGGGGTGGGAGGACGCATAAGGCCCCCCAGGGGACAATGAATTTCCAGAAGGCCACCTTCCCCTCCCCCCAAACACTTCCCATTTTCCTCGGCTTCCCCAGAACACAGCCAACCCAGCCTCCATCGGAGAAACCTGCTCTGAAAAGTTAGCTCTTTGTTCTACAAGCCGGACTCCTGGCTTTGAGCACAATTTCAGAAGATCTCAGCGAAGCACTTCCCACCCACTCGACTCCAGCCCCGGACCCCGCCCGGTGCAGGGTGGGCGGCCCAGCACCGGGAGTTGGCTTTTCATTTGATGTGGGGGTTGGGAAGGTATGGGGGAGGTCTGATAGTCCCTGAACCACTGAACCACCAAGGGGGCTGCAGGTCGTTCAAAAAAGGCAATCTCTCGGTGGAGCTCGGTCCTTAACTGGGCCCCCAGCCTCTGCCCCGCCCCCCGCCCCTTCCCCTCCCCCTCCCCCAGCGCCCCGCGCTTCCGCCTACTTGGCGCTCGGCGCGGCGGGGAGAGGGAGCGGCCGTCTCCTCTCACTCTCCCGGCCCTAGGGGGCGGGACTGCACCCCTAACCTTCCTCCCCAACACACCCTGCTCCTCTCCCGTCCTCCCGACCCCGGGGCACGGAGCCCACCCTTTCCAGCAGTGGCTGCCCGCCACGCGTGGACTCCTCGCCTCGCCCCGATCTCCTGGTTTCCAGACCAGAGTCTGTCCCCACACCCCATGACACCGCCCGCCTGCCCGCCCTCCCTTCCCGTGGGATCGCGGGGATGAGGCGGCAAGGACCTGGCCCCTCTCTCCTTCCCCAATTTGGAGCACTGGCTGGGGGATTGCAGAGACGCGTCTCCGGGTCCCGGGGCTCACCTTATCCAGACAGTTCACCTTCTCCGTGGGGTACACGATCTTGCTGCACCGGGCGCAACTGGGGTTCATGGCTTCGGGAAAGGCTGGGGCGGGGACACCCGAGCTCGCGCGCGTTCTGTTTC